AATTTCGCCCAGCTTCCCAGCTTCCCCATTTCAGGCTGGACGTTTCGTCAAAGGGCAACCTTTGAAAGTGCGTTTTCAAAATTGAGAATAAAACATCTTAAATGAAGGGAAAGGGCGTAGCTTTGCAAAATTGAGCCCGACGATTCCTCTGGTAATTTGTTATCTATGAACTGGTTAAAAGCCGCAACAGCACTATTCAAAGTTTACATGTGACGGCTTTCCGGATAACCTTGAATCAAAGACGTAACGACGTCGTGTAAAACCTGATGTATGCAGATGTGGACACCAAACTCATCTTCATGTGACAAAAGTAGTGAACATCTTTGGAGTTTCATAATTGTCATCTCTTTATCTTTTATTCCTTCCACGACGTTTACGATGTAATTCACCACGATATCCTCATTCAAAGGCTGTGACGTGCAGAGGGAGAGAAAAGTTAAGGCATGATCTATGATTCTGTCTGATTCCATCACTTCTCTAACGGCCAGTGTTATTGCTGTTGTCATCGATTTCTTGTAACAAAGGTTGGTCTCTGCAAATAGAGTCTCTGTCGCACCACGTTGCCCTTCTTCTACTTGTCTCAGAAAGTCGGTCCAACCAAACTCTGAAAAACGTTTGCTCTGTCGAAGTTGCTTCACATAGGTGGCAGCGCTTGCTAACGCAAGAGGTTGGTAATCGAGTTCTTTAGCTACTGCTCCTCCCAGCTCATTATCACTGATACCAGAAATCAGGGCTAACAAAGAAGAGGCCTCTTGGGACTGCATACCCTCGCTTACTGAGATGTGTTGAATGGAAAGGCCTGGTAACGGTATACACGAAGTATCTTGAGTTATGATCAACAGATACCCTCTTGCCCACTGTCCATGTCCTTGCCGAAGTAAATGAACATGCATTTCAGATAAGCTTTTAACGTTATCAGCCAACAGAAGCCAGGACTCGTACTGACCAATCTTTGTGCTGATTAAGGATATCAGGCTGTTGATCTTCTCCTCTGTCTTCAAATTCTTTGAGCTATGGATGTTTGTAGTAGCATATTCCGGGCACTTCATTTGTCGAACGAACAGGATGTAAGATTCCAGTTCAGATCTAGAAGTGTGCCTAATGTCTCCACATCCAGTGTCATTACAAACACTTCAGAGCAAGAGTCTTTTCGGGCTTTCTCGTAAAATCTCTTGGCTACAAGAGCGGGCAGTTGCGATTTACCGCTACCAGGATTCCCGGAGATATACAAGATACTTAAGTTGCTCTCATCAGCTCCCTTAAGCTCCTGCAGCTGATTTGTGATGTCAGCAACCTCAACATCGCGACTTGCTATGTCGTGCGAAGGTTTAGGGGGAATAATGCGAAATGGGGAAGTGTCGTTCAGTAATTGTTCGGAAAGAACCTGTCGTTGATCTTCGGATTTCTTCAGCAGACCTTCAAGGCTATTCAGTTGTTTTTCTTTTTCTCGCGACTGATCTTCAAGGCTCTTTCGTGTCTCTTTTGTTTTCTTTAAGTTATCTTCAAGGTTCCTTTGTAGTTCTTGTGTTCTCTTTTGCTGGTCTTTAAGGTTCCTGCGTTGTTCACCTGTGTGCAGCAGTTCATTTTCTCTTCGCTCTATGAGATCCTCAAGGTCCTTTCATTTTTCTTCTGTTTTCTCAATCTCATATTTAAGACCCAGAAGTTGTTTTTCATTTTCCTTCAGCTGATCATTCAGATTCTGCCTTTCAACCGGTTACCGCCGCATGGCTGTATTTGTTTCTTTAGTTTGTTTTCTCGTTTGTACGCGCATTTTTTCTCTCATTATCGCATTCCTTGTGTTTTTTTTCGCTTTTACGTAATCAATAGTCTGTTAGGTGTTTTCGCATAATTTCGTCTCGTTATGGCCTTTTGCATGCGTCTTTTTTTTGGTGAACTTGTGTTTTTCCATCGCTTCGTTTCTTGTAAGTCTTTTTTTAAATTGTTTTCTTTGTCCAGGACATCTCTTAACTCCTTCGTCGGAAAAGTCTTTTGGTTTCTGATCTGTTGAATTTCTCTGGTCGAAAGACGAAGGGATTAGAATGCGGCAAAAACTTTGCCAATAGCAGTGTTAAAGTCTAACTCCGAAAGTTGACCTTGTGGCATATGAGCAAATTCTTCAGATTGCGAAAGTTCTGAGATTGTCAACAATCGTTTTCACCTCCGCGTTTAGACCAGAGATGCAATCTGAGTAGAGAAGGGCGTAAAACAACATGGTACAATCCCAGTCTGCTCTCTTTCCTTTAATCATGGTCGACAATAGATGCTTGTTCCTCCTTTGGTTTCGCGGGGACTCTGCATTGTAAGAGTCTCTCCCATTACTAGGATCATCTTTCCATTCTCCAAAGGTTACAGCGGCCGTGTCTGTTGTAGACGTGTCTTGCAATCCTTTGTTGAAAAGTCTTACATTACCTGATAGTAAAAAATAATTACCAAATATACAACTTTAGAAATCAACTTACTTCAACCTGAGGCAAAATACTGGTAACAGTATTTTCAACACCTGTGTTAGCGCCAAAGGAGCTCCATGCTGAAAGATGTCATGCAGTCTTCTTGCGGGGCGTTAATTAATCGATAAATCAATGTCAAATCATTCAGTCATTAAAATCAATAAAAAGAAGTAGAAAGTAAAAGAGAGAGAATAAAGCTTGCGAATTAAGGGTCATTGATAAAACCAGGACCACGGAACATACTGTCAAATTCCGCAATATTCCTTCACATTCTTAAACATCCTGGATCATTTTGGAATTATCCGAAACGCTTCAAGAGTCAAAAATTCGCNCCCCCCCCCATGACAATTATTGCGCAATCCTTAAACAGAGCGATCTACACCATTTTGAAAAAGATAAACAATTAATATGGATGTTTGGATGTCTGGATGATAAACCTTCACAAACTTGTATCTAAAGTTGTGACGAAACGGCTTTCTACGTGGATAGAATCGACTTAATCGATGTACTGAATCAATTTAATCGATGCACCTAATCAACTTCAGTTTTTATCGAATCAACTTATATCGAAATGTACAACATGTCCTTAAAGTTAACACTGATATTAATTTTACCCGGCAGGTTTATTCCAGGGAGGGGAGGGTGAAGAGTGAAAGATAGCAAGGGAGGGGTGGGGGTAATGCATGCTAGTGAGGATATCATTCTTTTTCGGTGATGTAAATCTAGCAAACTAAGCAAAATTCTCCTTAATGTTTCCTTTCACTGATTATTCCAATGAAAAATTTGGATATCATTTCTGCTAGTAGATAGAATATAAAAATTGACATCAATTCTTCGTATTGAAATAATTTGTTTGATCAGGAAGGAAACAAAGAATAAAATTGTGGTTGATTTACTGTATATCTAGTAGCTTTCTGGAATAAAAAAAAAAAAAAGTCGCGAGGTAATTTCTGCTTAAGTTTTAAAATATAGAAGAACCTGTAGGAAGCGGTCACCCCCAGGAGCCACTAAATACAAGCTGGCCGCTCAACAGAATAAGGGTATTTAAAAAAAAAAAAAAAAAAAGAGACACAAAAAATGTCATATTATGCCGTAATTGACCACCTAATGTACAAGAACTTGCTAAAAACTGCTGCTTATATTGATTTCGAGAGATGAATGTGGATTGAATTTTACTCGAAGATTATTCTTAGCTTTATTTGGGTGGTTCTACTTTTAAATAACTGTTCAATACAAGTGGGAAAAAATACAAGCAGGCCGTCGGGACTCAGTAAAGGGTAACCACGACCCCTTAATGGAGGTGAAAATTAAAGTAATTAGAGGAGAAATTTTGAAAAAACGAGTATTTCATATTGGGTTACCGCTTAATGTGGGTTCGACAGTACAAAGTTGAACGCTTGAGGTTGTGTCAATGAGGTTTTGACAGGACACCTGTAAAGGCAGAGATATAACGTCCTTTTTCAGCCAGCAAGCGTGATGAAGAGCTTCATCAGCATTAAGAGATTTTCATGAGTGTTCATAAGTCCATTTTATCTTCCGCGACAGAACATCAAAAGTACCATTACTAGCCGAGTCAGGGTTAATCAGCCGAATGCAAGTCCAATCCTTTTTTGTGTTTTTTGGACTTCGCTATAACGATCTCCAACTAAGGAAAACAAGGACGGATTTCAAAAGATAATATCAAATCTAGCAAAGTAAAAATCTTTTTCATTGTATAAATTGGACAATCCCACTAAAATTCTACGAAAATTCAAGAAAACTTACCGCGTTGTAACCCACAATGCCGTATGACTCTAATTCTTCTCTGTAATGGGTGAAAATCTTGCCAACCACAAAAAATTTTTTAGTTATTCCCTTAAAACTTTATTCTTAACGATTTTATGCTGTTTGTAGACAAAAAAATTTTCAGTAGAAAGAAACAGCCGGAAAAATAAAAAATTCCTGGTCGGTCCATTATATCCTTTTGGGGACCAACAGTTCGTGATGCGCAACCTGCAGGTCCCTTTACAAATCTCTTGTTTTAGTTTTAAAAGGCTACCCTGTAGTAAAATCTCTTGTTTTACTGTTTAAAAGGCTACCCTGTAGTAAAATCTCTTGTTTTAGA